TAGTATTTTCTGGTATTGCAACTTTATAGAATGGACATCTTTATTGAATAAAAGTATTAAATCCTACAGACGTCCACAGAAACTTGTGTTCTGTGAAAATCTGATGTGGCTATTTTCAGTATGAGATACATTCTATGTTGCTTTGACTCCTAGCTAGTAAAAATACATAGTGTGAAATAAGGCAGAGAGCTACATTAACTCTACAAAACTGAAGGATGAATCTGGAATTGACTCATGTTAGTGGGTTGCCCTACTGAAGCTGGTACTTCTCAATGTGTGACCTGTTGGCAAAAAGAGAAGTTTGTAAATGTAGTAGGCTTTGGTTTAAGTGAATTAATTATAAATTTCAAAGTTTTTTTTCTGGCAACAAAACATAGAGAATATTAATCTGTTTCTTCAGACATGGCTTAACATATCTAGTTTTGTTAATGCAAAATTATTAGGAGTGGTGATAGTTTCTGCCTCTCTGTTATAAGGAAGCACTACATGTGTTAGTTACCAGAAAGCCTTGCATGTCTGCTTCCAATTTAATGTAAAACATTTTTTGATCAGGCTTATACTTGACAATTTAATTAGATAGTCGTATATTTTGATTTATTGCAAAAATAATGTGCAAGTGGTCAATTACAATAACAAGTTAGAGCTGGAGGAGGTTTCTTCCTTCAAAGTAATGAATTTGCTTATGTATACAGATTTAATAAATTAAATTATTTTGATTTACCAGTTCTTACTTCTTGGAACTTTTTAGATAGAGTAGGTTTTGGTTTGTGTTTTAATATTTGAATTCCTTACCCTTCACTATGTTCATTCAGGTAGAATACCTTATGCTATTGCTCATTCCCCTTGTACTTCACGGTCTGTACATACCAAATATTGTATAAAACTGCTGATTTAAATGTTAGATTATTTTTAAAGGATTTTCCCATTTCTTCATATTGCTGCTCTTCATCATGTTTTTCATCTCCAAATGCTACAGATGCTCCCTATGTATGCAGAATACTAAAAGCCATGTCTGCGTTTTTTATATCTATAGATAGGGATTATTAGGATAATAATATACAGTACTCTGTCATATGTACTTGTACAGTAAATTATGTTTTTCATTTCATTATATATAAGTTCATAATAACTTGCTATTCACATGTGTGGTGGGTTGACCCTGGCTGGATGCCAAGTTGCCACCAAAGCTACTTTATCACTCCCCTTCTCACCTGGATAGGGGACAGAAAATATATCAAAAGGTTCATGGATCAGGACAAGGACAGGGAGAGATCACTCACCAATTACTGTCATGGGCAAAACAGACTCAACTTGGGGATATTAATTTAGTTTATTACTAATCAAATCAGAGTAGGGTAATGAGAAATAAAAACTAAATCTTAAAATACCTTTCTCCCACACCTCCCTTATTCCCAGGCTCAACTTCACTCCTGATTTCTCTAACTCCTCCCTCCAGGCAGCACAAGGGGATGGGGAATTGGGGTTGCAGTCAGTTCATCAAACATTGTCTCTGCTGCTCCTTCCCCCTCAGGGGGAGGAATCCTCACACTCTTCCCCTGCTCCAGCGTGGGGTCCTTCCCACAGGAGACAAACTTCTCCAACATGAGTCCTTCCCACAGGCTGCAGTTCTTCATGAACTGTTCCAGCGTGGGTCCCTTCCACAGGGTGCAGTACTTCAGGAATAGACTGTTCGAGTGTGGGTCCCCCACAGGGTCACCAGTCCTGCCAGCAAATCTGCTCCAGCGTGAGCTTCTCTCTCCATGGGTCCACAAGTGCTGAAGGACCCTGCTCCAGCACGGGCTTCTCACAGTGTCCCACCCTCCTTTGGGTGCACCTCCTCCCCATCTTTCTTCATTGACCTTGGGGTCTGGAGAGGTTTTTCTCTCACATATTCTCACTCTTCTCTCCAGCTGCAACTGCTGTTTTTTCATCTTCTTAAATACATTTTTCCAGAGGTGCTACCACCGTCACTGATGGGCTTGGCCTTGGCCAGCGGCGGCTTTATCTTGGAGCCTTTTGGCATTGGCTCTATTGGATACGGTGGAAACTTCTAGCAGCTTCTCACAGAAGCTGCCCTTGTAGCTGCCTGCTACCAAAGCCTTTCCACACAAACCCAATACAATGTGTTTTCAGATTATACCTTGCTGGAGATAACTTTCTGTTTTTACCAAATGTATCAACTTGTCTTTTAAGGGTTAAAACCTTTCTGCCATTTTAAGACTACTTTAGAAATTTGTTTATTTCCACTTGCTCTTTACAATACTTTTCAATTAATATAATCAGCAAAAATAACTGATATACCCTTTCCCAGATTTTTCAGTTTTTTAAAGAAAATATTGAACATTGTTGGCATAAGTTGTTCACTGTGAAATTAGAAAAGCTGTGGTTTGCATTGTAAGGATGCTGTTTGCAATTAATCACCTATTGTCATGGTGAAAATACAAGACTTTCTAAATTATCCCAATTTCAGCTGGGCTTATTTGCAGAAAATACAGATTTGGCGTATTGTTTTATTTCAGTATATGGTATGATATAGCATAATAATTGCTGGTTGTTTCAGTACATTTCTTACTCTGTACACAATGCCTTTTAATCAGTTCAGTGAAGCACATAGCTTGTTGTCTTACTGATATATTCCATAAATTAAATTCAGTAAAATATAAAAAGTAACACTTAAGAATAGAGAAAATAACTTCCAGCCTATCCAAAAGCAGTCTGCAGAGCTCTCACTGGTGGTCTTAACTCTCAGAATTGCTTATAGCTCTTTTGCTCTCTGGGGTAGCAGATAGTGGCCTACAAAGCTCCTCACAGGTCTTTTGTATTCCCTTGGTTGCTTATTTCTTACCTGTAGAATTTTTCTTTTGGTGATATCTTGACCAGAGTATTCAGAGAACCTCCAGAATGATCCCCTTGATCTTCTTGCCTCTCTGTGCTCTGCAGTGCATTTCATGTTCTTCCAGATTCCAGGCAAATTAAAATATCTCATATGTCCTCTCCCTGCTTTCTGTAGAAATGCTGGTTTTACCAATAAGTAGTTCTCTCTGAATTATTTTTGTATTGAGGACATTTGTTTAGTGTATAAAACTGGCAAATATCTCATGGATTTACTTAATTAAGAAATTTGTTACTGCTTTTTTACATTTGTTTTTATTTTTTATTTTAACATTAATGAGCTTTGAGCTATTACTTTAGGTCTTTCTCTTTTGGTTGAACAATTGCAGAATTGCAGTCTACTGATTTCCAGTCTGACTTGCAAAAACTTTATTCAGACATCTTCTATACTGTACTGATTAGTGAACAACAGTTCAAACACAGGTAGAAATCCCCATCTCTCTTGTGATGATTTCACCCAGAACTGTGTTGCACTGGTCCTTAATATGCTTTATCAGTTTGTATGCTAATAAGTGTACATGGGATGCTGATAAGTGTACGTGTCTATAATAATCAGTTTATACATGGGAAAAAAGTGTGTAGTTCATTACTGACTCTCAGTTGAGACTACAGGTTTGATTGCTTTGAAGTGAGGAGAGACTCTCTGATTCTCCACATTGTTATATTAATGTAATGTAATGTATTGACGATGTGCTATTTTTCCCCTTTAAGTACACACACATCGACACAGACAAAGCATCTTACACCTAAACATAGGAGAAATAAGTTATTTATGAATCAGAGTGGTTCGTATATATCTTGGTCCTAAGGCTGTACAATGAATATGAATACTTGGAAGTATTGGACATGCTTGGAACCATAAAATGAACCGAATTAATGAGGCTTTGCTTAGGTGCTTACTAAACATTTTCTAGGAATAAAACTAAGAACACTCTGGAGAAGAAGAGCAAATACTATTGGACTCTCGGAAGATTGTCATGGGAAAAGAACTACAGTACTATGAGCCAGAATTTTTCCAGTGCCAGGTCGATATCTCAAAATATTCTTTACGTGGTTACTGTTTTCAGAACAAAAAGTCAGTTATATCAGTTGTCATAACCACCAGGAACTGTCTGAAGACCTATTTCTGCAAAACATTATAATCAGATTAAGATTTGCAGTTCTTCCATTTCTTATCATCATATATTAATTTGATCCTCACAAAATTTGTGGAAACTCAACCCAGGACAAACTTCTTTGAAATTACTGTATATCTGGCATCTTTTTTTCGCAGAGAATATTGTACCCAGGGATAGTGAATTCAACTTTTTCAGTTAGATGCAAACACTCACTTCAATACATCCAGATTTTAAAAAGATTTTTATTAAAAGTCTATGTAAAACATCCATGTGGTAGCCTTTTAATCTATTGTAACTGTGAAGGCTTTTGATTAGACCATTTATGCCTTCTGTTATCCTAATTCAAGATTAGATTCAGGATGTAAACCGGTGTCTGAGTGGCCTTAGCTTGTATATTTGTGAAGGAATCATGTTGTTTAAGTTCAGAACTGAGAGTGGACTCTGGAGTCATTGATTCATTGTTATTTTAATTGTGTTTGAAATTCAAATTTTTCTTGTACCCGAAGTCTGTATTTAACCTCATAGTAGTTTCCTTTCCCAAAACTTTAAACTGAACTTTGAACTAGTTTTTAATTGTAGACCTTTCTGTTTGAAGTATGTTTTACACAATCCTTACAATACAATTTTAATTTAAATAGCACTAATCAAGAAAGAATTCCATTTTATTAGTTTTATCATTAATGCATCATATTGACCACAAGTAACTGGTAAATTTGGATATTTTGATTATTATAAATCCTGAGTTTGGTGAATTGCAATTTATTTCTGTACTTTAAAAATATAACTATAGGAACTATAGCTGTACTTAAATTAAGCATAACAACAGGATTCAACTTTACGTATGTATTTTTTATTACAAAAATCAAGAAGACAACATGATAACATTCTTGATCAAATTCCATCTTTTATCATGAATCTAACTACTACAGATATGGTAGAAAATTAAAAAGTGCAATTTCAGATTCATTTAATATTTGCATTTCTTTTTAGATTATCGACATAATGGGAGAGATCTTCAAAGTTCAACGCTATCAGTGCCAGAACAAGTTATGTCATCTAATCATTGCTCTCGGTCAGGGTCTCCTCACCGTGGAGATAGTATAGGACGGACTAGATCGTGGTCTCCCAGTGTCCCTCCCCCACAAAGGTAAACCGTTATTTAATTATGCACGTATATAAATTTAAGTGATATTGATGCTGTGACAATACTGGAAAGAATCTCCACACTTTCAAAATGGCAATGAATTAATTAAATCTGATGGAATTATGTAAAGCAAATAATGGTTTTCCTTGCATTATACTAATGTGCAAAAATTCATTTAATTATGTCTTATTTTTCATCAAAAATTGGTACATTCCAATCTAAGGAAAGAAAAATATTTCTTCAGATTTTCACTTTCAAGAGCTATTTAGAAGGTGCCATGTTTTATAGCATGTGATGGTTTGACATTTTCTCAGCATTCAGTTTTCAGTGGCTGTTTTCAACCCTTTTGTGTGTGTAGAATGAAGGTTCTGGGAGAGTCATACTTCCTGCCTGTAGTAGCTTGATTTCTACTATTTATTTTTTTAAAACTTTTAAAGAATAAATAAATGCACATACAATTTTATACTGAAAAATGTCAGCTCCTGATCTTAGAAGGCCTTTGATAACTATTTATCTTGTGAAACAAAGTTCAGGGCATTTCTTCCAAAAACTAGTCATTTTGGATAATGACTACTACTTGATTGAATATATTGTTTAAGCCAGAATTAAGAATTTTCCTGCATGGGTAAGCTTTCTTATGAGGAGGCAGAAGGATAAATGTAAGGGGAATGGAGACTGTTTTCCAGCATTTTTGTCACTATGTATGGGTAGGATTCCAGCTGGTGTAACTCAGCTGGAATAAAAGGGGAAGTGATCTTCTTTGCTCATAATGTTCACAATTCCCATTTAATACTGAAGATCTGGTATCCAATATTTCCTGTCGGGCATATGTGTCTATCTCTTTCTTCTAGAACCATTCTGATCCTCTTGAGTTCTGCTTATTGAGTTCTCTTATCTTTTTTCTTATCTTAAAATTCTCTTGACTTCATATTCTTCTACTTACGTGTTTACTTACCATTTCCTCTAACAGATACAGACTAAATGATACCCTTTTCCATTAGTGAGCTATTAGGATCCCAAATTATCCCACATCAACACAGAGAGCTATCAGGCAGAAACTGTAAGTTTCTACTTGAAATCTAAAACCATATGTAAATACAGCCTGACTTTAAATGAGGCATAAAGAGCAGACACAGAGGAGCCTATTCTGATTTCTACTATACTGATTTAATTCTAAGTAATTGCTTATGCTAAATCTCCTGGGGTTATTTGTCTTGGATATAGACATAAATATGAACAAAATCTCTTTATGTGTGTGTGGTTTTGTGTGTGCATGCGTGCTGTGTGCATTTTGGTCAGAACTTTTACCCAGACTAGTAATTAATACTTGTCTAACACCATTGAAAAACCTTCTTTTCATTTCTTGTAATTTTGCAGTTTTTACATGTATGAGATGCTTCTTGCTTCTTGACTTTCCTAAAGCTAAATTTTTAAATACAATTTTGAATTTATAGAGGAAGATGTTTCAGCTGTTTCCTACAATGTCACAATCAAATGCATTATTTATGTAATATTTCCATGCCCACACACCAAATAATTACTTTGAGGACTTGTCGAGCCCAGAGAATTGAGTTGCAAGAACTTGAAAGTTTGTAGAAAAGAAGCATAATCATTGCGTTACAGAAATGTCTTTTTTAGTTCTGATGAAAATCCACATGTGCTCAGCAAAGCTATAAGCATTATTAATCACATTTGCAAGACATTTAGATGCTTTTGTTATACATGTGTTGCTGTAGACACGTTCTAACTGCACTAGGCATGCTGCACACCCAGAGATCTCCCAGTTAATGATTGATGCCTCTGCAGGCAGGAGCTCTTGGGCCACAGAAGTGCAAGTTGCTCTTATATCTTAGAAACCAGTCATTCTACTGCATTTTAATAGGCTCCACCAAAGCCACATTGCATAGTAGCTGACAAGAAATTGTTACTGCTCTTGTAACGTTTTCAGCTAATATATTTAATGGACTGTTATTCTCTCTGTGCATCAGAATGGAGTTTATACTGTGGCAGGCACTGGACAGCATTGCGTTTAGCTTTTTCTAAGATTGTGCATTTGACAAAACAAGATGGAGATGACTCTAGAAAGTGGCTAGGCTGACATGGTGTGCCAAATCTAGTAGGATGCTAATTATTCTCTACCATTGCCACCTGTAATTACACCTTTTCACCTGCTTACCTGTTATTTGGTTGTTCTGTATGTGTTCTGTCAACTGCAAGAAAGCTCCAAAGGAGTGAAGACAGATGTTGTGAAAGCAAGTTTTCTTATAGAACAAATTTCATTGGAGAAAGGATGTAATTTTCTGTTAAGCAGTAAATCTGGCTGACAAAGGCATCCTTAGCAGAGTGAAGCAGAACTGAAATAACAGTAACACTTTGAAGTAGAAGAAATACAGTTATGTAGATGTTAAAAAGCAGCATGGAGTCAGAATCAGATATAATACAGAAATTTAAAGAAGAAATTATTTATTTAGAATGATAAGCCGATAATACAATCTTACAGAAAGTGATTTAAGCAGACAGGATGGTACTGAGTTTTCAGGACTAAGGCTTGTAATAAGAGTTTAGTCAGGAATTTTGATTGTGTGGACAGACAGTAAAGTTCAGATCTTTGGGAAGATTTGCAAAGAAATGACATTTTGAGAAAGCTTAAATGTTTCAGTCAAAATAAGAGATGAATAAAGTATGATGATAATACTTTTGACAGAAAAAACCTCAAGATTTATTTATTTTTAAAAATCTGAACATAAAGAAAAATGCCAGACAGAAACTAGAATTGAGAAAGGAGGAATGAGAATGGGTTGTTGGGAAAAGTAAAAAAAGTTAACAAAGAACAGCAGAGGAGCCCTGTCAATGTCCATTTTAGAGTACAAATATACATGGAAGAGCCCAATGCCATAAAAGCTACACTGGATTTTCTATCATTTTGGTATAAATAAGGCAATTAAAACATGTACAGAGAAGACATTTCAGGAAAGAGAAAAATTATACTAACTTTTAATGTGTCAAATACAAAGCTTACTAACCAGTGTAGGCTTTATATTTGGTTTCATGAAAGCCAGAGGGGAGAAATGCTTTATGAGATATGAAGTACAGCTGAAAGCAAAAGTTTATGTGTAATGCAACATCTTCATAGCACTTATATGCAGAAATAAACAAGAGCATGGCAGCAGCAGTGAAGGATACACATACAAGTTAACACTGATCAAGGATTAGCAAATGACAAAGGATAAGGATGACAGGTACCAAAAAGGCACACAGAGTGACAAGGGAGGACACAGGAACTGGGTAGTATAAAAGTGAAAGAAAATGAGGCCCACTTTAGAGAAGACTGCAGGAAAGGACAAGAGGCAGAAGAATTTATTTGTCTAAAATTGGAATTTATGTGGAGGGAGGCATGCAAATTGTTATTTTCAGATCTATACAAAACAACTATGTTTTAATTATCCAATCATTATTAAAGTTAACTGTTGTCTTTTTATTTTCCTATTCTTGTAGATTTGCTTTACAGAGCAGAAAAAGTTAAGTTAGTGTGTATCAGTAGGTATTAATGTTTAAACTGAGTAAAAATAGTACAAAACTGTAAAGGTGTTTGGTGCTCTTTAATGAAGCCTGCACTATGTGTACCATTTATGCCTAAATAAACAGTTATGTCTTTTTCAGATTCTGTGCTAGTGAGATTACAAAATAAACCTTCCAGTGAAAAACAATCATCTGGTGTTTAATTCAGATGACAATATTTTCAGTAGGCTGTACTCTACTGTAACAGCCAGACATTCTCATTCTGTCTTACTACAGTTTACATCTTTATAGTATAGCCAAACTGAAGAGCTTATGGAATATTCTTTACATTGTATGTTTCAGCTAGAAAGGAAATTTTCCTTGAAGGTACTAGTCTGGAAAGACCAATGAAATTTTGCCTAAAATCAACCTTTTTAATGGGGGGTGTGTGCGGGGAAAGCTATCTTCTCATTTCCAGAGTAAACTAATATTAAAACAAGAGAAAAAAAAAAAAATATCTTTATCATGGACTTAGAACCTTTTTCTGTAGGACAAAATATTTTTACTATGAGATTTAAAATAATGTGAGGGTAAAAGTATACAAGTATACAAGACAGGTCAGCTAATACATCTCATTACCACCATGTTTGCTAATAATTGTCTGTACAAACCAGTGAGGGGATGTGGTCCAGGCACACCCAGAACTCAGAATCTGGTATCTTTTATCCTTAGTCGGAATCTGGATCAGGGACCACGAGGGACTCGATCTACTGCTGCACATTACAATACCCTGAACCGAATGGATAGACACCGTGTTATAGATGACCACTACTCTCCGGACAGAGAGAGGTAAATATCTGACTGGAATTAGAAACAGCTGTAGCCTACAGTCATCAGTGTGAATTACTTCAGCATAGTAGCTCACTAAAGTAAATAGCAAAATTACTTACCTAGTCCCACAGATGAGCATTTCCCTACTCATTTATTCACCGGTTACATGATATACATTACAAAATATATAGTACATAAAAGGTCAACAAAACTATCAAGTTAGAGTATCATTGCCAAGAGGGAGTCTGAAAAATCTATGAGAAATTGTACAATATAAAAGACAAATAGCTTAGCTGTCCTTTTTTATATTATTATTTTTATGTACTATACTGATACATTCTTTAGGTGCCGAATATCTTTTAAAAAATCTAACAGTGTATTCAGTCATTTTTGCTGCTGAGGCACAAAAATGGGTGATTTCAGCTTAGTATTAGCGTAATGCTGCCATCAGATACAGTACAATTCAGAAACATAACAAAAGACTAGCACTTTATTTGTCTATTCTCAATTTCATCAGCCATTTTTGTGAAAAAACAAGCCGACAAATAAACAAACAAACAAAACCCAAACAAAGTTAATGGCAATGTGTGTTAGAATGAAATTGGGATCTCTGTGTTTAAAGGCACATCTTACCATGACTAATGTTTTGCCTAATGGAACTTCCTAAAGAGTGAGCAGAGCTATAGCAGCACCTGTGAATTTTAATGATGTAAAAAAGAATTGCAGGCAATAGTTGGCTCATGTAGTTAATTTTGCTGAATTAATTGTGGTAGTGCGTTTGTGACATTAAAAAAAATATTGATCTTTCCCACCTTATTGTCTTCAGGTTAGAAAATCAAAAGGAAAAGCATGTTTTACCTTTCATTTTGAAAATCTTCCAGCTTCTTACACACAAAGTTGAAAACCTGCACGTTTCATCATCAATTCAAACATCAGAGAGGCATGATTGCTAGGTCCTATTTCATAATTGCCTATAGCAAGGAGTAATACAGATATATTTTGTAATCTTACAGAGTGCTATGTGATTAGTATTTTAAGTTAATACTTTTACAGATGATTATGACAGGTTATTCCTCAAGTGACATGAAAGCACATAATTGGTGCTGCTAACTGTAGTACAAAGACTTTAAGAAGTCACTGGCTTTTTGTTAGTAATATTGAACAGAAAAGGTGAATATGTCATAAAAGAACATTAATGTGATAGTTATTTTAAGGAATATAAGACAAAATTATTCAGAAAAAAAAAATGATAATTAATTGTTCCTAATTAGGTAAATTAGAAAAAAGGGTACCGGAAAAAAAAAAAAAAAAAAGCAGCATATCTATTCAAGTGATTTGTAATTCAATTTGGCCAAAAAAAGTCAAATGGGCAAAAAAATTAGGATACCAAAAAGCAATCAATTATTTATCATCCAGAATGTTAACTGTATTCATTGCAAGCATTGTAGATCATAGGTGAACCTCTTTTTTACATTAAACTATTTAATATTTCTATTTAAGTTATGGAAAAGAATGCTCTTTAGTTGGCTCCTGAGGCTATCTGATTTTCATACAGAAGGCAATAACTTAAGGATTCTGAGCTGTTTCCTTTAAAGAAAAGAACAGAATGCTTTTGGGGTAATATTATGTTGATTTTTAGACCAGTCATCCTTGAAACAGGATCTAAACTTGTCCTAAGGGACTGTATATGACTTATGGAATGCTCCTGGGTTTGTTTACTGTGTGAGTTTGCTTGCTGCCTCCCAGATAAATGCATAGCAGTGAAAGGTGGCTTGAAGAACAGCTTAACAATCTTTCCCCATCACTTCAATCAAATAACCCCCACGGGACTGGCTTGGTTTAGAGAAAGAGAATTTTTTTTTTTAGAATATGTTAGAAAAACAATGTCAGAGAGATGTTGGTGATGAGATTATGGAATTTTCACATGACCATTCTAGCTGAATAGGTATTTGATTGTTAGGGGTGCTCTGGATCTCTGAACACAGGATTATATGTCATCTGTATTTTCCAAAACAGTCACAGAAGTTCTCATGTTAATATATGGTGAGTGGTTGCCTGTGTAATCAGATTGTTAACTGGTTATGCCTGTATTGCAACATACAGTCTCTGAAGCATATTGGTTTTAGGAAACACTCAAGAGAATAGAAAAAGACTATTTCCAAACATCTATCCTGTTTTATATTCATTGTTAATTTGACAGTGGGTTTATGAATGGAAAGATTATTAGACTTCAGATTTTGTTAGTGAATATTTGTGATACTATCTATGTTACATAATGAAAAATGATGGTGTGTACACAAAGTCCTTAAAGTATCTCTTTAATGGTACTGATTCTTAATACTGCTGGAACTGCAGGCAGTTTGGGAAAGTGGAAAAACTGAACCTCTGTATAGGTTTATAATCTCTATTTGTCATCCTTGTTTTGCTCCACACTTACATCTGAAAAAAAAAAAATCACACTTTCCCACAGCTCTGATGGTTTGATGTTTCCATGGTCCATTTATCCCTTGGAGCTGTTTGCAAAAAAGGGACTTTGAAAAAGTACTTTCTTGTAGATGTGCTCAGTTCTTAAGTGAAAATATGACTGAGAATATGAGTAAGAAAATGCTTTCCTTCCTTTTCTAGACAATTCAACATAAAGTTCTTTAAAGTATATGATACTAAGGAGGTAGTTGAAACCACACAGAAAAATGTCTAATGACCTCAAGTCTAATGGCAATGTAAACATTCCTTCAAAACTGAATGTATAGTTAGAAGTGAAAATCAAATTATTTCTAAAAAGCTGAGAGACATCAATTTTTAAATTCAATCTAAATTTCAAACACCAAACCTTCAAATATCTTAAATGTTACTATCAAATCATATACTGATTTTTGTTGGCAAGTTAATGTTACAGTTAAAATTTGTACTAGTAACTCAAAGTATAATGGGAAGAAATATGAATGCTTATGACCTAATACAGCCCCAAGTTTCATTAGATCTTTTATCTGTAGCAGGACATCCTTGTAAACTTCAGTTTGACATGTTTTAATAAACTTTCTAAAGCAGACTTTTACCTCACTTCAGAAACTGAAACTAATCAAACTATGGAGAAAGTGATGGAAACAGCCACATTTGATCTCAGAGATTTATATTTAAGGTATCAATATAATTAGGTGAATAAGAGGAACAATGTGAGAATCTTAGCATAGTTCCAAAATGAAGACATCATCCAAAACTATATCTATGTATTACTTTCTGAAAGATATATCATCAGTTAACAACAAACACTAAAACAGCATAAGGAAATTGTGTGTAGGTTGGTAGGTCTAACCATCTTAGATACTATTTAGCAACGATTAATCTAATTATATTCTTTATCCTAGATGTGTTCTCCCTGAGGCATGAAATTGCTAATGGTGAATTTAGCATTGATATAGTAGGCCAGAGCATAGCTCAAAGAGTCTTGCTGTGGAAAGGTATGAGAAAACTCCTAAAGTATACATGTTTTTCTAGTAGGCACTTAAAAGAAAACGAGAAAAAACAAACTAAATTTTGGGTCCGCTATCCTTTCATCAGGACTATTGCACAGTTTCCATTTTAAAGAACAGAAGTTATTATCTGCTATGTTAAAGTAATGGGGTAGTCATAGCCATGATTATTTAAAGAAATATTCTTTATTATCTATAAATCACTTCAAAGATGATATCTGGATATGCTGGGACTAGCATGACTATCACATCACTGTTACTGAGAGATGATTTCATTAGCACATTTAAATACAGACTTTCTGTTGAACGCTGTATGTTTCATGCTGCTGAAAGGTCTTTTTAAACATGTCTTAAAGTAAATGCCAAAATACATGCCAAAAATTCAGGTTGCTATAATCAAACCAGTGAAGACCAAACTAATTCACTACCAGGAGTCTGCTGCATGTTAGATAAGATGTCATTTAATTAGCTGCCTCTATTATTTAACACAAAATTAAATGTGTCCAAGAGCAATATAAATTCAACATTTCTAAAAGCCATTTTACACTGACAGATGCTTTATCTATAAGTAGCAGGCTTCTAATGCAATGCCGTTAATAGCTAGGTGCCAGACTAGGTCAAAGTAGGAAAACAGTTTTTTGAGACATTGCACCATAGTAAAAACCAGAAAATGTAACATACTTTTTTGCACATTCTTTACTAAATACACAGCTGAATAATAAGTAATTAAGTAGTCAATTATTATTTAGTTAATATTTTACAGTACAATCATTTAAGTGTCTATTTTAAATCCAAAGAGATTGTAGAGTATAAAGTGCACCTGATGCTTTGTGTGGAAATTCTGGGATAATATTTTCAGGTTTTGTTTGTGTACATCATATGGGTGCATACCCATATGTGGGTATTCAATGTCATTGTTTCTTTGCTTCTTCAAATACCTACTAAAGTAAAAGAAATGTGTTGCTGAAAATTTGCTTGTAGCTACATTATAAAATGTATGCATCAATTTAAATATCAATAATTGCAGTATTTTTCAAGTTCTTTTTCTTCTTTCAAAATTGTACCATGTGCATTAATAGTATATTGTACTTCCTAATTATTTTGTGTGTCTACGCCTACAATTGAAAGTAAAAAACATACTGAAGATTGTACTAGTAGGGATTCCTGTAAGTAAGAATGTCCTCCACTTTCCATTAACAGATTCTGTTTTCAGTTACTTATAATGTTGCCAAATACACTTTCCTTTCCCAGGGCTCACTCTCATGAGCCATAATGGTTTTAGCTGCTGAAGGAATTTCAGTCTGAGCACACTGCCATGTTTTAGCCTTGCAGAAAGGAGAGTGTTTTCTCTTTAGCTGCTGTTATTTACAGTGAGCACATTACTTCACAGTGAAATCACTGCTAAATTGCACAATTATCTGCACCACCCACCTGGTGCCTCCATGCGTCCGCTGAAGGATGATAACTTCCAATAGAGGGATGGAGTAGGAAGGTGGTAAGAGAAGTGCAGTCTTGCAAATGTATCTGAATTTGTAAGGCCTCATGATT